GTTAAAACCATAAGTAATTTTTTATCACCAAACTACATTACTATTATTATTATTTTTTTTTTTTGAAGTTGGAATAATTAATAGTAATAAATTATGGGACGTGAATTTTTAAGTCCACTTAATTAAAAAGTGCAAGAATACTTATGAAAAGACTTACAATAATTAATGAATTAACATATATTGGGCGATTTATTAATAATATTTACTTTTGCCGCAAAAGCTTACTTTTATCATTTTTCCTTATTAGATTTATAAGTTTTAACCTCTCACTTTATACCATAACACTTTTAATCTCTTATCTTTTACCATGACGCTTTTAGTCATTCATCTATTAGAATTAAAGAACATAACCTTCACTTATAATATTTTGTTATTTATGTTAACTCTATTAGTTGACTATTGGTTAATTGTTAATTGACAAAAACTTATTTTCAGTTAATAAAGTTAACAATCAGTTAACAAAACGATTTTATTAGCTGACTGTTAATTCTATTAGTTGATTGTTAACTGATTGTTAGTTGGTAAAAATTTATTTTCAACTAATAGAGTTAACAGTTAATCAATAAAACTAATGAAATATTATAAAGTGAGAACTATTTTCTTCAATTCTAATAGATGAAATGTTAAAAGTATTATAATATAAGATAAATGGTTAGAACCTACTAAAAAGTTAAAAGTACGTTTTTGCCTACTTTTGCTTCAAAAGAATTATCGTTTTTTATTTTGAATTTATCTCAAAATAATTGTTTTTTTAAAAAAAATTTTAAAGAAATTTTTTTTTCTAATTTAATCATATTGTTATCGAGTTAATTTAATTAATCTTCCTATCACAAAAATTATCTTTTATCTTTTATTTATTTTTTAAAAATAATATAAATAAATACATAAATTATTTGCACCGAACCCTTCGGATCAAGTGACAATAACCACTCTATGGTGCACTCCCCCCTCCCTTGGGCTGGGTTCGACCCAGCCCCATGTAAAAACCTGTTAAAAAAAAAATACATAAATTATTTTT